CAAGGTTTTTCTATTTCTAGCTCCTGTGACATAGTTTATCATCCCAGATGAAACATGTTCGAACTCGTCCGAGCAATTACCTAGACAAACATCCTAACCAAGTTTGATGATGATTGAGTCAAAAATATTATCACTAAAGTGTTAACAATAATTTCTATTTTTAGCTCCTGTGACCTAGTTTTTCATCCGAGATGACCCATGTTTGAATTCCTCCCAGCTATTACATAGATAAGCATCCTGACAAAGTTTGATGAAGATTGAGGCAAGAATGTGACCGCTTGAGTGTAAAAAAAACAAGTGTGGAGGGACGATAGACAGCAGAAGACGGACGACGGACATTACGATCCTAAAAGCTCACCCTGAGGTAGCTCAGGTGAGCTAAAAAGCGATCTCGACAGAAAGGTTACAGATATCGATAGAAGTCGGGAAATCGTCAGCCAAACTTTTTCAGAGATAAAACGACAAATATTTGAAAAGTTTGAAAACGATCATAAAGAAATTGATTTGATTTGAGTCACTAGACCTTAAAGCCCGAAGTATGGGCGACAATTTACTGTTCACTCTCATAAGTTACCGCAAGAGAAAAGACGAACACTGTCAGAAAAAATAAATACATTTCATCAATGATAAACGAAAGATCGAGAATGCCATGTACAATATACGGTTGTGGAGGGAACATCGAGTAGGTCTCTGTATAGCGGGTAAGATCCGGCCTATGGTTGCCATGTTTACGAGGTTTCATGATCACGAAAAAGTCCGACGGGTATCAAAAGAACTGACAATGACAAATATTTGGGATCTCTGAGCAGTTCCCTAAGGATATCGTATGCAGCGAAGAAATCTTAAACCTGTCATGCTACATGCTTTAAGGGATGGTAATGAGCTTTATATAAATAACCAGCTATATCGCGGGTCTATGTAAGACTCTTGTGAGATGTACTTCAGTGTCTCTGGTAGAACCCAGAAGGATTAATTTGTTATAAATTAACATCGCAAGTTTTTGAATATCGTGTATTAGTATGAAATTGTATGTCTGAGTGAAACGAGGCCAAACTAGACCTCCGATAGTGATATACAAGGTAACACAAATCCTTTTAATTATTTTCAAAACATTCAACATAGGCTAAGCAAGAAGATCTAGTGATGGTCTAATTGTTTACATTTAAAATAATATTCGAAACCTTGTCAAATTACTAGTAATTCAAAATACAACAGAAAGTTAGATATGTTCACTTTGATATTAAGGATAAGTATCATTTAATTATGTTTTACTTATACCGCTCCGAAAATGTTTGTATCTGAACAAATAAAACATGGGCCTAATATGTAAGCGATATCCTTCAGTTTTCTAAATAAAGTATTGTTATACCCCGAATCTGTAAATATACACGTGTTTGTTGAATGCTCACTAATTTATACATTATAAGTAATTGGAGAATGGGGCTACATATGTCATGTTCTTTAGATATTTTTTGGACGATAAAAATACGTTCTAGCAGTCAAATTTTATCGGTCTATTAAAAATATATAGAGGATATTTGTTTGTGTGTAAGATGAAATTTTATTTCATCGAGTGGGCCTTAAAAACAGTAATCTCACGAGTGGCGTATACAACAAACAAACAAATTATCTTTTTATTTTATGCTTAAAAATAAGTTAAAACGAATTTCCTAAATATTAAAGTTAATATTGATATCAGTTTTTCTCAATGAGAGCTCATTTATGCGAATTTCTCATTAAATATAAGAAGTCTTGGCCTGAAAAAATAAGTTCGATAATCAACGTTAAATGGCGGTGATATTATTCTTTTTTTAAAATAAATGCTCGTTTGTTTTAATAATAATAAAAAAAAACAATTCTAGTAGGAGAAAAAGTTCAAACCTCCATCCATATTTTTGTTACTTACTGCGAATTTATATTAGACCCTGGCTTTGTGAAATGTAAGCGGCCGCCATTTTTAAAAGTTGTGTATTTCACAGGAGGAAAATAATTGTGTTTGATTCAGAGGGATATCATTAGGATTTGTTAGTTATACACCTTTTTAAAAGAATGAAAACTTATTTGAGGATTGTAACAGACAATAAATAAGTGCTGAAAGATGTGTACACATTCAAAAAGCGGCTAGGGAATTGGAAAACTTGATATTGTTGAATCTTGAAAGGCTGCCTTACGAACGCTGGGTTGTTTTCTTATATTTCGGGCTCATGGCTGTCATTGCTTTTCATGTTTTCATAAAGAATACGGCTCGGGGGATACTTAAATATGCCAAAATGTAATGAAGAGCAGTTTTGCATGTGGAAGGAATGTATTTTTCAGACTGTAAAAATGAAACAAACAAAAAATAGAGACGGTATTTGGTGATTGGTTATTTTAATGAATAGAGGTAAGTTTTCTTCTGTTTATTATTTTGACATTTAAGTTATTTATCAATTTCAGCTTTGCTTTTCTCTAAACAGCCTGACATTGTCACAATTGTCAGCAAAAATAAAATCGAGGTACCACATAGGGAAAATAAAAAAAGTATTTTCGTCATTGAAAAGTGTGAAATAATAGTTTGATAATTTTTACTGTAAAAAAATCAAATATAATTTTCACGGATAAATCAAGCATAAAATTAAAAATATTCCACGAGACGAACGAAAATGAACACTCTGTGACTTTACCGATTATTGAGACGAATTCGACTTTATTATAAAATGTCCAGCTTTTTTATTTAAAAAGACTATATTAACCAAGGTATTATCATGCACACGCAAATATCATTAAATTTAGTTCATTAACGGAAAGTAATTAAGTATTTAGATCTTCTAAATGGCTCTTCATTGTTACAAGGCTTTTTGAAAAATGTTATAATGAAAATATCTTCCTCAATCTGTTTCTGTCCACATGTATATATTTATATACGTTTTTCCCGGCCGAAGGCCGTATAAACTCAGTTTGACTTGCTGTAAAATTAACAGGGAAGAACTGAATATAAGAAGAGTTTTCATTGGTCATGTGGGAATCTCTCATTGACCAGTCTAAAATAAAATGTCAAGGAAAGTTATTGTCATTCTACGATAGTTTTAAAGTATATATAAAGGATAGTTCTTGCCATGATGAAATAATATGTATTTTCTCGTCATTCTAAGATAATTTTAAAATAAAACGTACATGGTAGTTCTTTTACTTTCAACTTTAGTCCAGAGTTTACTAATTTACATTAACTGTTGAGATGATTCTTAACTTTAGTATCTTCTACATCTTCCTCTACAATGTGTCTACAAAATCTGATAACATACACATTTCGAGTCTTTAACTGAATATTATAATTATCAAATTGGAGTACTATAAGCAAAATTAATCTAAGTTTGGGAAATTATTCAAGCACATCTTCATTCCAGTCTTTGTGTTATACTACCTGTAATTATCAAGTGATTTCAATCCTTTATTACTTAAAAACATCATATTTATTTAAAGATGTTAATAACATTTTATTAAAAAGCAAACATATATATTCTAGGTTAAAAGTTTCCTTTAATGATTTAATATAAAAACGAATAGTTTGCATGTATAATATAAAATGACTTTAAATGAGTATCTATGGTGGAATGGATAAGTGAAGTAAGTTTGGAATCTATAGAGAAATGGCTTGGTGAGTTTAAATTAGTATCTATTGAGTAATGGCTCAGTGAGTTAAAATTAATAGCTATGGAGTAAAGGCTTACTGAGATGAAATAAGTATCTATGGAGTAATTGAGTTAAAATGAAGTTAAAATGAGTATCTATGGTGAAATGGATAATTGAGGTAAAATGCGTATCTTAGAGAAATGGATAACTGAGTTAAAATGAGTATGGAGTGTTAAAATATATGGAGTAATGGATATGTGAGTTTATATGACTATCTTCGAAATAATGGATTAGTGAGGTGAATGAATATCCATGAAGTAATGATAAGTGAGGTAAATAAGTATCCATAGATTAATGTCAAAGTGAAGTAAAATGAGTATCTATTGGGTAATGGAAAGGGTTAATTATTTCAATGTTGGACATATTTTACTGTAAAATTAGGAAAAAAAACGTTCTTAGCGAATGTTCAAAGAAATATTTTGCTAAAATGACATTGGCCACGTCTTTTATTAAATGGTACATAAATGTCAAAAACTATTTCAAGTCCCGTCTAATCAATAAAAAACAACAGACGTAACCCTTAAATTTACTTAGAATATCAATTAGAGTTAAGTCACCACTAGTGGACAATTCCTTCTAACACTTTGTCATAACAAAGCAGTATTGGAAATTTTTAATTCAATTTAATATATAATAAGTTTGTTGTTCTTGTTTCAAATCAAACTGATATAATCTAAGTTGGTGACTTTCTTAATGAACTTATGCAAGAAAAATAAGGTGTTACTTCGTGGATAAATAAAAGCACGGGCGGACACAAGCAGTACAATTAACCTCGACGAGAACAAATAGAGATAATACAAATCTCTAAAGAAAGTCCGAAACAACAAAAATTGGAAATATTGCAGACTCCATTTGATTGAGCCTGTTAATGGACTATCTAGTGCAAACTCCCATCAACGCCCCCTAGCACCGACTTAATCAGAAGTCATCATTTAAACATACACATGGTCACATTTTGAATTAAGAAACTTCCGCCGACGTGTTCATACGGCAGTTATCATGGAAAACGCAATGCACTTTTGTGTCATTCAATAAAAATCGGCATGTGGTCTCCAAGTAATAGACAGGCGTGCCCTAAACGCGGAACTAAACACATTTTGAAAGGGGATCAACGTGTCACTAAGATTAAATGTTATTTACGAATGTTTTAAAAAAAAGACAACAAACCACCTTTTTAATTGAGTTGGTCTATTATTGATCGACATGTAATGAAATAGTTTTATACCTTGTAAGCATTTCCGATTATTCTGAAATAAAAAGACAACATTTGAAAGAAATAAGTACAGAAACGTTTATTATTTTACAAAGGAATTTTCTCAACAAAACAAAACAAAAACAAATAGAACTTTGATGTTGCCGAGTTTACATTGCCATGACGTCATGCTATGTTAAACAGTAAATGAGGCTCAGATACAGCCGCAAGTACTGCACAGATGACAAACAGAAGTGTCTTTCAAAAGGTTGGATTGGTAGAATGCTAAAGCCCGGTTTTCTGAAAGCAAAATAAATAAAATGTGCATGACACTTATTAATGATATTATACATTAATATCAAAGGTTAAGTAAATACATATTCAACAAAAGAAATGCAGAAAAACTCGTTGAGCTAAATAAATTAATACAGACGATCAGTTGTATTCAAAGAACAACACGCTATTACCAGAAAAAAAATCTTTTGAGCGAGCTTAATGAAAGACACCACACTTTTTATTCCATAAAAAAAAGAAAAGCAAATCTTGATATTTTGAAAAGTTTGACATTTTATTAAGAATATACTTGTACAAAAGATGAAACAGGGAGCAGTACAAAATCCCTTAGGAACCCACAAAATGACAAAATTGAAAAATGTTCAGGCTCGGTTTGATTGAGCCTGTTCATGGACGGTAATAGAATGTGCAAGTAACCGTCCACGTCTCCTAGCACCGACTTTAGCAGAATTCAACATTTAATCATGGTATCGTGAAATTTATAAATTTCGAAACATCCGCAGATGTGTTCATATATTTCATCACAGGTTAAATTTTACTACAATGATCCTGATAGATCTGATAGAGTTGTCTTTCTCACTGATCTACTTGACATAACTACATTGATCCTGATAGATCTCATAGAGTTGTCTTGCTCACTGATCTACTTGACAAAACTACATTGATCCTGATAGATCTGATAGAGTTGTCTTGGACACTGATCTACTTGTCATAACTACATTGATCCTGATAGATCTGATAGATTTGTCTTGCTCACTGATCTACTTGACATAACTACATTGACCCTGATAGATCTGATAGATTTGTCTTTCTCACCGATCTACTTGTCATAACTACATTGATCCTGATAGCGCTGATAGAGTTGTCTTGCTCATTGATCTACTTGACATAACTACATTGATCCTGATAGCGCTGATAGATTTGTCTTGCTCACTGATCTACTTGACATAACTACATTGATCCTGATAGATCTGGTAGATTTGTCTTGCTCACTGATCTACTTGACATAACTACATTGATCCTGATAGATGTAATAGATTTGTCTTGCTCACTGATCTACTTGACATAACTACATTGATCCTGATAGATCTGGTAGATTTGTCTTGCTCACTGATCTACTTGACATAACTACATTGATCCTGATAGATCTGGTAGATTTGTCTTGCTCACTGATCTACTTGACATAACTACATTGATCCGATAGCGCTGATAGATTTGTCTTGCTCACTGATCTACTTGACATAACTACATTGATCCTGATAGCGCTGATAGATTTGTCTTTCTCATTGATCTACTTGACTTTTAACTACATTGATCCTGATAGCGCTGATAGATTTGTCTTTCTCACTGATCTACTTGACATAACTACATTGACCCTGATAGCGCTGATAGATTTGTCTTGATTATTGATCTACTTGACATAACTACATTGACCTGATAGCGCTGATAGATTTGTCTTGCTCACTGATCTACTTGACATAACTACATTGATCCTGATAGCGCTGATAGATTGGTCTTTCTCACTGATCTACTTGACATAACTACATTGATCCTGATAGATCTGATAGATTTGTCTTTCTCACTGATCTACTTGACATAACTACATTGACCCTGATAGATCTCATAGAGTTGTCTTGCTCATTGATCTATTTGACATAACTACATTGACCCTGATAGCGCTGATAGATTTGTCTTGCTCACTGATCTACTTGACATAACTACATTGATCCTGATAACGCTGATAGATTTGTCTTGCTCATTGACCTACTTGACATAACTACATTGATCCTGATAGCGCTGATAGATTTGTCTTGCTCACTGATCTACTTGACATAACTACATTGATCCTGATAGCGCTGATAGATTTGTCTTTCTCACTGATCTACTTGTCATAACTACATTGATCCTGATAACGCTGATAGATTTGTCTTGATTATTGATCTACTTGACATAACTACATTGATTCTTATAGCGCTGATAGATTTGTCTTGATAATTGATCTACTTGACATAACTACATTGATCCTGATAGCGCTGATAGATTTGTCTTTCTCACTGATCTACTTGACATAACTACATTGATCCTGATAACGCTGATAGATTTGTCTTGCTCATTGATCTACTTGACATAACAAACCAAAACATTATATAAAATTTATTTATGCTGCTGAATAAATAATTAAAGACAATTTTGAAAAGTAATACGCAAAAATAAAAGAGTTATGTATATCACTATAATAATAACCTATACTGATACAAAAACTGACAAATATGCATCAATGGAAAATAATGTCAACTATCATCGGCAAATCTTTAACATATACAAAAAGTTTAGCTCGGTAACTTAGGTTATAATTTCTTTTAATTATTAATAATTTGGAAACATTCGATGAACCTGGTTTATAATAATCAAACACCCGGATGGCCGCCGGTTTTGTCTTCGCAACTAGATCCGTCCTTAATAGTTCCAAGGTGGCACATGTACTTGGATATGTCGGCAAAATCTGGAAAACAAAATAGTCTTATAAATACGTAACTACACGTCGGCAATTCATATCAATACATAAAGGAAACATACAATAATATGCTTCTAATTAAAGATCCTGTATGTTTTGTGATTGATATTGTTACTGTGTGTATACCACACTTGCAAAAAATATAATATGTACATAATTATGCAAATAAAACAATTTTCAAACATCGAAGAATATGCAAAATGTGTATTGCAAATATTTTTGCACATTATATTTAATCAATAAATTATATGCATTCATTTTTATTGGAAAATTTGACTAAGAATTGATAGAAAATAAATTTCTAATTACCTCCCTTTATTCACATGAAATGTTAAATTCGGTAATATCTTTATCAAAAATGCTAATTGGAACTTGCAATATTTACAAATTTTAATTTTAGCATCATATTTAAGAAATAAAACCATGAAAAAATGTGTTACAGGATCTTTAAGGACATTGAACGGGCTATTTGGCTGTGAATAAAAAGTTGTATCTTATATAGTATTTAACCATCGCCTGATGACCTCGGTCACTTGTAATTCATAGGGATTGCTTTGGATTCAGTTTCCTGGATTTCACGCCATTTCAAGACCACTTTTCAGTCACTTGTGAACAAATGTAAATTTTGAGATATGAAATTTGATACTAATAGTTAATCTTGTGTGTGAACACGTGGCCTAGATTGCACGGATGTTCATGTTACCATGTTCTACACGGTTAACATAGATAGTGGTAAAAGTGAAAGGGGTTTAATGAGAATAGTGGTAAATGTGTACTCCTTACCTCATCGTAGTATAAAACTACTTTGTTTATCGTCCCTTATTTCAGTTTTCTTGGCATTATCAAGTTTGGATTTTAGAACTTTCAAGGGTCAGCAGAGAACCCGGATGGAAATATCTATTCCATAACGGCCATACCAGCACTTTGGTTTTAA